GTGTATCTTTGTTAATGGGGCACTGCAAACACAGAGAAGTTCCTGGCACCACTGAGTCTAGACTAGGATCCCTCCCTGCTCTTTCCCTTTTCTTTCACCTCATGCCCTAATTACCTGCTAAGCCCACTGAGAGCACTTTAATATTCATAGAGAATAGTGGATCTGCATATCAGGCTGAAGAATTAGGCCCCAGTGTTTCATTTGCCACCTACATGTGCTTCATTTGATATGCGAGCAGTAAGCCTAACACAAAGCTTAATATTCTCACTGAGGTCTTTCATCGTGGTAGAGTTAATAAACTCTGGGCTAAAAGGGTTTGGGATGAAAGGGTTAGCACCGCTGTGCTGATTATTCACTCATTACAAGTGAGTAAACAACATCAGAGCTAATGTGGATTAAGAGAAGGAAGATCCTCTTTATCACCGGCCTGGGAGGGAAGAAGACAGTTGACAGCCGGGGAAAATCTGCAGAAGTTCAAAATGAAAAAGAAATTAATGAATAAAATGTGAATACAGAGTTCACTGGCCCTGGACTTGAAATATATATATATATATATCTTTATAAATAGCACATTTGTGTGCTTGTGCTAAAAAAGTAATTTGTATGTAACAAGAGCACTGGACCAGCTGGTAGTTCATTCAATATGTAACAGAAACACATGAATGAATAATAAAACATATATAAATCCAAACATATGTAAATGCAACGTTTCTCCCACTGAAAATGCTACGTCCACATGAACAGAATCAACTTTTGGAGATTTACTAGATTTATTAGAGATTTACTTAACTGGATGATTGAGCATGCATCAAGACATAAATGCAATGTTGTTTTTAACGGTGACTCGTGGCACAGGGTCAAAGGTCATTGTCTTTTCCTCAATAACAAATAAAAATTCATGAGGACTTAGAGAAAAAAAGGTCAGCCCCAATCAACAGAAATTTAAAATGCTTTATGTAACGTGCTGTAATGAAATTACAGTGTTCTGAGGGTGAACTGCAAAGAGTACATCTAAAATTTAAGGTTGCAACTGTGCCAACATTATCTTCACATGCGCATTTGCCGGTATGTATGTGTTTTTACAGACTCTGTATGCAATTTTACTTGTGCCAACCTGTAGTGCTTCATTATGAACGTTGTCCTGAAGTGTTTTTGTCTTGTCTTTGTTATTTGATTACTGAGTCACTGATTTTATCACCACCACGGCCGCCACATAGATTTTGTTTCAATGGAACTTTTCAAAATTTCAATGAAATCTTCTACACGAAATCCCAATTATTGTGCTATATTCCACAACAATAAGGACAGGATGGGATTCATAACACAAAACTACAAACTGAAATTTAAAGATCATTGTTTTATCATGTTAATAACTGAACTGAACTGAACTGAACTGAACAGAACGGTCTGTCAGCATAATTTTGTCACTAATTTATTATGCACCTGTCTGTACTTATTGTGTTGGTGAATGAGGAAAAATATTATCCAGAGAAATCATAAATATATAACAGTGGTCACAAAATAGAATGAACCAGTTGTTACAGCGTCACAGAATTTTCACCTCTCCCGGACTTATTCCTTCTTCCAGCTGTGGACTTTAATGTCTCTTTGATCATTTCAATATAGCTCAGAAACTTTATTTCTAAGCAGATCCGATCACATTAATATAACATTCATAGTTTACCCAGTTTTTGGGAGTTCAAAATATATCCACACTTCAGCAAATGATAAAATAAGATGGAAAACACAACAGTAATTTATGTGAAACACTACAACTCCTGCCAGTGATGTTGTGATGGTGTCTTGCTTGGGATTGTGGAATGGCATTATTCGCTTTCTTCTGGAATGAATAAATACCGACACTCTGTTCATCCAGATCAGATGTCCAACTCATATTGTGGCTGTCACGTTGATACTTTATTGTTCCCTCATTAGGAACCTTCTTAAGCACAAAAGACTGCAATGTTTAAGTGAGCTGACTATCTTAGTGTCTCCTAAAACCCTTTGAAGCTTAATTAATTTTAAAAAATCAAATCAAGTTTCAAAATAACCAAAGTTGACCAAGCTCTCAAACACATTATTCAATAGGCAACATCAGAAATATGTACAAAACAAAAAACATTCAAATGTAAATGTAAAAAAAGTGTTTTCTTT